AGTCTGTGAGATTCTTATCTCCAATAAACCACTAGAAACCAGAAGTGACACTGTGGCTCAAGAGGTAGATCACTCGCCTTGAGCTGAAGATCGCAGGGACAGCGCCCAAGCCCAGAGTTCAAGACCCACAACAGACCAAAAAAAAAAAAAAGAGAGAGAGAGAAAAGAAAAGAAAAGAAAAGAAAACCAAAAGCAGCACTGTGGCTCAAAATGGTAGAATGTTAGCCCTGAGCAAAAGCTCAGGGACAGCTCCTGAGAGTTCAAGCCCCAGGACTGGCACCAAAGAAAAGAAAAGGAAAGAAAGAAAGAGGAAGGAAGGAGTGAGAGAGAGAGAGAAAGAGGGGGGTAAGGGAAAGAGAGAAAGAGAGAGAGAGAGAGAGAGAGAGAGAAACAGCTTCTGTCAGTTCCTGTGGCTGTTCTGTTTAGAATCTCCCCCAGTGTGGTTCCTGCCTCCAATCAGCTAAGTTCTGGTTATACCTGAGTCCTCTCGCAGGCCTCCTTGCCTGCACCCCCACCCCTATTTCTTTGCTCACACCACCCCACTCATCACTCTGTGATGAGACCTACCAAATCGAGATGGAACTCTATCCCCAAGGCTAATTCCCAATACAAGAAACCCTGTAAGAGACAAGCCAGCGCCAAGCTCCTCATTGAAACATGTCAATAAGTATTTACTGAGCAATAAGTGAAACTTTTGTCATCAAAGTTTCCCATGCAGCTTTCAATTTTATAGGAGATGCCTCAAAAAGACAAAAACAAAACTTTCAAATCCAATAGAAGAAGCACCTCAAAGAGGACCAGAAATCTAGGGTTAAGGATGTTAGATACTTTAGTACAATAACTCCTACTTGTCAGAAATTTAAAAAAAATCTTCCAGTCAAGTCAGCAATGAGATAAGAGACTGGGTCCTCTAGCATATGGCTGCAGGCAGGGACAGAGGGCATGGATTTGGGGGCAGAACCTGGTAGGAAGAAGCTTATATCTTGTCCTCACATTTGCCTTGGGAACAAGTCCTCTCCTTTTAGGAGTCTCCCTTTTGTTTAGATCCCCTTAGGTAGTCTAGAAGGAAGGCACTAATAGCTCATGCTTGTAATCCTAGTTACTCAAGAAGTTGAGATCTGGTTCAAAGCCAGCTCAAGTAGGAAAGTCTAGAGAATTCTTATATCCAATTAACTACCAAAAAGCCAAAAGTGGAGCTGTGGCTCAAGTTGGAGAGCACCAGAGTGAAAAAGCTAAGGGACACTACCCATGTTCTGAGTTCAAGCCCCAGTTCTCCCTCAAAAACAGGGCTGGCAACAAACAGGGCTGGGAAAGTGGAGTAGTGGTAGAGTGTTTGCCTAGCATACATAAAGCCCTGGGTTCAATTCCTCAGTACTACATACACAGAAAAAGCCGGAAGTGGTGCTGTGGCTCAAGTGGTAGAGTACTAGCCTTGAGCAAAAGAAGCTCAGGGACAGTGCCTAGGCCTGAGTTCAAGCCCCTGGACAAAAAAAAAAAAACAAACAAGCAAACAGCTGTGGCCCTTCCTTGTGTCTGTCTTCTTTCTGGAGGGTACAACCAGCTGCCTCCAACTAGGCAGGTCCTATGCATCCCTCTGTAAAGCCTCAATTCCAATCAGGCACCAGTGGCTTGTGTCTGCAATCTTAGCTACTTAAGAGACTGAGATTTAGAAGACTGTGGTTCAAAGCCAGCCCAGGCAAAAAAGTCATGAAGACTTCATCACCAATGAACCACTAAAACTCTGGGCTGGAGATATGGCTCAAGTGGTAGACCACCAGTTAAAGCAAGAAGGCAGGGTAAGCAACCTGAATTTAAACCTAACTGCTAGCCTCCACCCCAAAAAAAAAAACTGTCATGCTATCCCACAGACAATGCCAGCAAAGACTGACTGGGCTGACAGTGCCCAGGTCAAGATGGGACTGGAGAAAGAATCCTCTAAGGACTTGGAAAAAGGCATCTCATATATAGTACATGATATCCCAGTACATTCTATCCCCCAACACTGTACAAATTTTAGGATGGCACACATGCCAACCCAGCCCAGGAGGAATGTCCTCCTACATACAGGAGAGACTGGGGTGCTTAGTTCCCCTGAGAGGCAGACTTACCCCAGAAGCATGCGCAGGTCCTAGAAAGCATCTGTGTTGTACAAGTATCAGGGCCACAACTGCTGCCAAGAACAAAGATTCTGCCACCATGAGTATGGGTGACTCAGGGACCCTCTCTCCAGTTCTCCCAAACCAGGCTCGGTAGGCCAAGGTAGGACACATTCAGGCTTTTGACTAGTTCAGTTACTGTGTTTATTTTTACAGTTACTGTGCATGGCAAGTTACACTAATGTTCTATTTCAGGGAATGATATGAAGTTTCCTTTAAAAGAAATATTTGCCAGAGTAAGGAGACATACAATGTGGGATCTTGGAGCAGGAAAAAGACAGCAAGGAGGGAAACCTGGTTAACTCAATCTGAACAAAGCCTGTAGTTCAGTCAATAGCACTGCCAGTGTTCTCTCCTTGGTTACAAAGCTGGCACCATGGTTATCATGTCTGATGTTAATTTTAGGGCAAATGGAAGGGAAGGGAACTTGAAACACTTCTGTCAGTCTAAGTCCCCTCAAAATAAAAGTGTGGAAGGCATTCAAACTTTTAAAAAAGTGAATTAAAATGGGAACCATGAGGCAAACAGTACAGATGCTATACAGGTCTGGATAGTGTCGTGGGCTCATCCCACACCTTCAATTCACCATGAGAGGAGTGATGCAAAGGGAAGCTCAAGGGATTTACCCGGAGCCAGAGCCAATGCAGCAGCAAGAGGCCAGGCCCATCTTTACCCTGTTCCACCCACCAGGCCCCAGTCCTTCATCCCACCTTTTCTCCATCTCAGCCCCCAGGCTAAGAGCCACCCAGGGGTCCAATACCCACCTCAAGTCTTTCCCCAGTCAAGATTCACTTGGGTAAATGACCCTTGATTAGAGATGTGACAAAACACTTCACATTGCTGAGCCCCCTTCAGATCCTAGGACCACCCCAAATAGGTGAAAATGAAGCTGTGCTGATCAACTAATTGTCTGTCCTGGATCAAATACAAAACCTCAGATAAGTAATAAGGAGAGATAAGGCCTCAAAAAAAAAATCCTCTCCTCTGCCTCTGCCTGGGCCAAATGCAACAAAGATATCTATCAGGCCAGCTCCTGGCCCCTCTCCTCTGCCTGCCCCTTTAATTTCTGGGTTTTTACCTGGGTCTGAAGTCCAAATGAAAACTATCCTTCTCTCCCAGCCCCTTGGTATAAGACAAAGGTCCTTTCATTTGACCCAGTCCAGGTACCAAGAATATGGGCAGCAGCAGGGATCTGACAAGTACCCAAGGGTTCTGTAGGCCCTGAAAGAAGATAGAGGAGAAGGGAGGAACCCCCACATAATCAGGGCCAGCATCCCAGCATCTTTAATGCTTTAGGTCACGGCCAGGCCATGAATCTATGAGATGGATGTCATTTGATTGTTTAGAGTGGCCCTATTTGGGGCAGAGAGCAGGAGTCACACTTGTCACCCTACTCTGAGACTTCCCACAGACCTAGATATCCCAAGACAGAAGCTGGAGGAGGCTCGGATTTTAGTGAACCACACAGCCCCCTTCCCTCCAGACCAGCATCCAGGCAGGGAGGTGGGACTCTGACCTAGGGCAGATGAGTGCAGGCCTGGCTCCCCCTAAACTGGAGAGGCTACAGCTCACTTTTAAGAGCCCCTTAAAGACTCATGGTGTGAGCCAGCAAAAGGATTCTCTCTCCAAAAGGAGGATTAGGGACCACTTACCACTGTACCCCTTCCCCTCCCTCAAGCCTCCTCCGGCCATTTATGACTGGAACCCCAGAGGGCAGTTAGTTCTCCGGGAGGCCCAAACACATCCCACAGGCAAAGTCAGACACAAGAGAACCTGTTGGAGCAGTTTAGGCAGAAGGATCGTCTCTTCTTCCTCCACCACCTCCACCTCCTCCTCCTCCTCCTCCTCCACCACCACCTCCGCCTCCTCTTCCTCCACCTCCTCCTTCTCCTCCTCCTCCTCCTCCTCCTTTTACTTCTGGAGAGGAAGGGACCTGGGCTCTAAAACCCAGGCACCAGGCCAGGTCATGGCCAGGGGCAAGGACCAAGAGGGCGGGTTTCAGTATCTCCAGGGCTTACCTCCTACTCCCCCCCCCCAATCTTCCTTCGAGAGCATAAGGTCATGTCAAAACTGGGGTGCTCCAGCCTGGTACAGGGAGGAGGGAAATGGGGAACCTTGAAGGCCAAGAAGGAGGCGTCCAAGCCACAACCCCAGCCCCCACCACACTGTTCTGTCACTGCACTCCCGCCCAGGCCCACAGGCCGGCCGGGGCCAATGGCTGCGCGGGAACCGGGTAGGGGTCTTGCCCGCTAGGACCAGGTCCCGGGGAGCTCCCAGGCCACGGGGGAGGGTTGGGGGAGCAGGCTACCATCTCCCCGGAGCCCCCTCGGCCGCCCCAAGCCCTGCCAGCTCCGGAACCCGCCAGTCGCGCCTCTCCGGGGACTCGCGCCGGGCTGCGCGCCCGCCTCTCCCGGCCCGGCCGCCCCGAGCCCGCGCGGGGAAAGTTCCTGCAACTTCGCAGGGGGGAGGCGGCGGGGGTGCAGGGCCTGGGCCTCCCTCCCGTGCCCGGCCTCCACAGCTGCCGCGGCCCCGCTGTCAGACGATCGGGCCCCAGCCCGGCGCCCCAACTTCTCCGCACCCGAAGCCCACCTCCTGGCCCGCGGGCCTCGCTTTGTGCACCGCGGCCGAGGGCGCCCAGCGCGGGCCCGGCGCCCGGCGCCCCCGCCCTGGGCACAAAAGGGCGCGCGGCCCGGCCCGGCCCGACCCGGGCGCCCGGAATGCGGCGGCGGCGGCGGCGGCAGCGGCGGCGGCCAGTCCGCGAGCCGGGCCTGGGGCGCGCAGCCGGGGGGCGCAGGGCTCGGCCGAGCGTGGGCCGGGCCGGGCGGGGGGCAGCGGCGCGCTCACCTGCCGTGGAACCAGTCCTTGCAGGCGTCGCACTCGATCATGAAGCGGGTAACGTCGTAGGGGAGCCGGCAGACGCAGTACACGGGCACCGTCGCCATGTTGCCGCGCCGCGCCGCCGCTCGCCCCGCCGCTGCGCTGCCCGGGTCGGGCCGGGCCGGACCGGGGGCCGGGCCGCGCGGGGGCGGCGGGGGCGGCGGGGCGCAGGCGGCGCTGCGACCGGGAAGGGACGGGGACGGGGGCGCACGACAGCCCCCGCGCGCGCTCCCGGCCCGGCGCGTCCACACAATGCCGGCGCGCTGGCTGAGGGGCCGCGCCGGGAGCCGCCCGCCGGCCCGCGGGGCGCAGGGCGCGAGTGTACGCGGGGTTGGGCCGCGCCGCGCCGCGCGCGGGACACAAAAGCGAATGGACGCGCGGGGGCGGCGGGCGGGGAGCCGCGGCCCCACCGAAGGGACCCCCGGCCGCCGAGCGGCCTCTACGTCAGCGCCCCGGGTGGCGCCGCCTCCGCCCGCCGGCCTGGGCCCCGCTCCCGCCGCCGCGGGGAAGGCGGGCCGGGGAAGAAGGTGGGCCGAGGGTCCCGAGGGAGAAGGTGGGCTGTGGGGTGGGAGGACTCGGTGGGAGGTGGATCAGGGATGAGTCTCGGTGGGAAAGGCGGGCTGGGGGAGCCCTGGGGAGGGAGAAGGTAAGCTGGGGAACCTGGGAGGAGCCTGCCGGCCGTCCTTCCAGAAGGCTGAGAAGCAACTCCTTGGCCCTAACTTTCTTCTGCCTCCCCCCCCTACCCCCACAGTGGGACGGACGGACAGACGGGGAGGACGGGGGTGGGGGGGAGGTTTAGTCCTCATCCTGGGCTTTGCTGCCTCCCTCCCACCCAAATCCCCACGACGTTTTTGGCTCAAATACAACTTCTCCCTTCACTCCTTCCTGGCTGGACGCTGCTTGGCTCCCTCACAAGATTCTGTGGAGTTTCAGTCCCCACAGGTAGAGGATCAAAGTCAGGGGACCTAAAAGCATGCTGGCACTACATGGAGGTGGTCCTATAAAGAGACAGCTTACCTGGCATTTGTGCTCGGAACCCCCGATGGAGCCTCCGAGCCCGGAGAGCACAGAGGCAGGAGGGCAGTCCAGTGACCCTTCATCTGTGCTGCAGGACCCTAGAGAAGAAGCCAAGGGACTACACTGTCGCTCTCTCCCTGAAAGGCCAAAGGGCTACACTGTCACAGTTGCTCCTGTAAGCCTTTGCACTGAATTGGCTCTTTGGCCTGTTCAGAGGGCCTTTGGTGTGGGTGGCAGAGAGAAGATGCCTACTGGGGAATGGAGGCCTTCCCCTGCCCCCTCCTCAAAATGCTGCATCCTTTGGGCACCCCTGGTGGACAGGAGTCTTGGTTTTTGTTAAGAAACTTGTCTGCTGGATCTGTCTCACCCCCCACCCCCACCCCAATCCTGTGGCAAATCCACATTCCCCTATGAGATGCCTGTCACTTCAGGTAACTTCCAGATTTAGACCTCACAGCAAACACAATTCTTACCACTGTCACTGCCCTCCTCAAAGCTGCCCAGCAGTTCCATTGCCAGCAACTCAGTTAGGCCAGAATCTGTCCTCAGAGTCACCAACCACCCTTCAAACAGGTGGCTCCTGGACCACAGATTCAGGATCCAGCCCAAGGATGGGCCTTACTGAGAGCAAGTGTTGAAGAAGAGGAAGGTGAAGGTGTAAAAAAAACAAACAAACTAGAGATAGGGGTAGAGAGGAGTACTATCTCCACACCTTTGAGCTGTCTAGGATGAGCACAATTAGGCCACTTGCCTAGATTCCAGCTGTCAACCTTTAGTATCCTTCCCCCTGAGTAGTGCTTGACACACTAAAGTTCTGGGAAAGAACTATTAAGTCATTGTCTAGGATTAGTGCCTGGGTGTGAATTCTTGCACATAAAGGGCCTAGGATGAGTGCTAGTGAACTGGGCACAGTGTGGTTACATTCCCCTCTACTGATGTACTAAAGCAGTCATATGTCCAGTGCCCAGACCACTCTGAGTTGTCCAGTCATGAAGTCTAGAAACTTCTGGAAGCCCCATGCAGGGAGCACCATTGGTTATGGACAGCACTTCCTCCCCTGAACACTTTTCTTATTTACAAATAGTGGTGGTGGTTCCCAAAACTCACCAAATGCTTCCTAGATCTCACAAGGTTTTGCCTGAGTCATGGTGCTGGAACCATTTTACAGAAATGAAAATGGAGGCTTAAAGCAAGTGTCTAAGCAGAAGAGGAGTGGCCTGGTAAGAGGGTAGTAAGGAGCAAGTGAGGGGCCCACACTTCTCCAAGTCTTCAACCTGTATTCCCTCCCCTTGGCCCTCTCCCAGGAAGTCCAGCCTCCTTCCACAAGTTATCCCCTGGGATGTCTTTACCCATCCTCCCTGGTCCCTCCTCTTGGTAGCCAGCTGTGCCCTCTGCAGCTATCCCTGTGAATGTCAGCCAGATATTTTCCTGGTACTCAGAACCCTTCCAGGGCTGCCTGCTGTTTGCTGCATAAACAGACCTCATCCCAGACCTCCTCATAACTTCCCAATGCTCTTTCTCCATCTCTTCCCCTGATATGCTCCTCTCCCTTTCCCTCCTTCCTTCCTGTACTTATGTGTATTGAACAGGGAAGGATATGACTCCTGAGGACTGGACAGCAATGGTCTCCAAGTTCAGGGGGCATCCTGCCCCCCCCCACATCATTTCACTCTGGCCCCCAATTTGGTAGCCCCCTCTACTTGTGCTCTCTTATCCCCAACCAGCCAAGCTGGTACCTACAAGTGTCCCCATGTCCCAGCATCACCACCAAGGACCCAAATTGGCCTTGCCTATGGCAGGTAAAAAGAGGATAGGTGCAAATGTGGTACCTATACACAATGGAATTTTACACAGCCATTAGAACAAATTGTATGTCATTTGAAGGGAAATGGATGGACCTAGAACAAACCTTGTAAGTGAAGTAAGCCAAGCTCAGAGACATAAACAGTGCATGTTTTATCTCATATGTGGAAGCTAGATCTAAAATACACTGGGACATGATAAATTATACAGGACTCTAAGCATTCATACACAGTGAGATCAAAGGAGGATACTCTTAGGAGAGGAACACAAAGGTGCAAATGCCTATGTGCATCTAATAATATAAAATAATATTTATCAAAATGAACTCCAGGTAGTGGAAACAAGGGCTTTTTGTTGTTGTTTTGGGTTTTGGAGTTTTTTGTTTTTATTTTGTTTTGCTAGTCCTTGGGCTTGAGCTCAGAGCCTGGGCACTTGCCCTGAGCTTCCTTTGTGCTCAAGGCTAGCACTCTACCACTTTGAGCCACAGTGCCACTTCTGGGTCTTGAGTGGTTAATTGGGAATAAGTCTCATGGGGACTTTTCTACCCAGGTTGGCTTTGACGCATGATCCTCAAATCTCTGCCTTCTGAGTGCCAGTATTACAAGTGTGAGCCACCAGCACCCCACTCTAAGGAATTCTTTTTGTTGTTTGTGGTGGTAGTCATGGAGCTTGAACTCTGAGCCTAGGCGCTGTCCATGAGTCCTTCAGCTCAAGGCAAGCACTCTACCACTTGGGCCACAGCACCACTTCTGGTTTTCTGGTGGTTATTTGGAGATAAGAGTCTCACAGACTTTCCTGCCCAGGCTGGCGTTAAACCACAATCCTCAGATTTCAGCCTCCTGAGTAGCCATGATTACAGGTATGAGCCACCAGCACCTGGCTCTAAGCAATTCTTAATTTTCTTTTTACATTGTTCGTTAGTGTAAGGAAATTGTTTTTTTAATTTTTGTGCCAGTATTGGAGTTTGAACTCAAGGCCTTGAGCTTTCTCCACTGGCATTTTGCAGATGGGAATTTTCTTCCTATGCTGGTTTCAAAACATATCCTTTGAACCTTAGTCTCCTGAGTAGCTAAGATTACAGTACAGATGTGAATCACCTGTACCTAGCAAAACTGATTTTTATATGCTAATTTTGTATCCTACTCTTTGCTGAATTCATGTATTTGTTCTGAGGCATGAGTGTGTGTGTGTGTGTGTGTGTGTGTGTGTGTGTAAAAAGTTTAGGGCCACTCTGGACATGCACCTGAGGTGTACAGTACTATGCCTAAATACTTCCTGTCCTCAGGTCAGTGCTGAAGGGCTTTCCCTGATCCCTGATGTGTGTCCACATCACTGTCCTTTCCTCACTCAGGTGAAACTCCACAGCCCTAGGACTATTCCCTCTGCAACAAACCCCATACTGCCCCTTCCCTGCTCCAGGAATGACCAATGGACAGATAAAAAGCTTGAATACACATTTCTCCACACAAGCCCAACCTAAGATTTTTCTTTTGAGATACATGGTATAAAGGACACTTGTGTAGAGTTAAAACCTTTAACCTGCTACATGACCTCCATTTTTCAGAGAGACAGGACCAGCTACAGTTCTTGCTCTCCAGGCAGGGTTCTTTAATTATAGATCATCTTTCATAGTTTGGTTTTCCAGTCACAAGAGTCAGGAAAAATTAGTGTACCCAGATACTGGTTGCTCTTACTTGCAATCCTAGCTACTTGGGAGGCTGAGATCTGAGGATTGTTGTCTGAAGCCAGCCTAGACAGTAAAATCCATGAGACTCTTTTTTCTAGTTAACCAGTAAATAGCTGAAGTGGAGCTGTGGAGCCAAAAAACTAAGGGAAAACACCCAGGCCCTGAGTTCAAGCTCCAGTACCAGAACCAAAAAAGCAGAAAGGAGAAAAGGAAGGAAGGAAGGGAGGAAGAAAGAATCCCAGCAAAGTCACTGTCCACTGGAGGTAACTTCCATGTCAGTGGCATACAGTTGTACGAGAGTTCAGGGTTGTGTAACAAGACCACATACTTGGTACCTTAAAAAGCAGACACCTAGCATCTCCAGTTTTGGAGGCTAGAATTCCTAGATTTAGCAGTCTACAGGTGATACCCTCCAGAAGACCCTAGGGAACAATCTGTTCCCTGCCTTTGTCCCCCTCTAGTAGCTCTTGGTAAACATTTCCTATCAAATGAAAATTTAAGAAATGGAGAGCAAATTAACCATGAAGGGACAAGCTCACTCTCACTAGTAAACAAAGTCATCCAAGTGAAGTTAGGTGTGGTGGTACAAGCCTGTAATCCTATCTGAAGCAAAATAATAGTGAGTTCCAGACTAGCCGAGGCTGCGTAGTGAACACAGTAAAATTTTGTTACAGTCACACAGACCAAAAACAAAAACCACCACCAGACCAATAGCTGAGTACCAGTAGCTCATACCTTTAATCATACTACTCAAGACACTGAGATCCAGAGGATCTTGGTTTTAAGCCAGCCTGGGAAGAAAAGCCCTCCAGACTCAGTTTCCAAACTAGAAAAAGGTAGGGTTGCAGGC